TTGACGGTCCTGGGGCCCGCCGAGGGCCCACGGAGGCCGAAAAGTGCCACACAAAATGCCCCGCCATGCTTTTGTTAATTGCCCGTCGGTCGGAAAAAGTGGGCAACTTCCCTAGGTGCAGCTGTCTTCCTGCCCGTCGGTCGGAAAAAGTGGGTAGCTTCCCTGGGTCCGGCTGTCTTCCTGCCTTGTTTTTGCTAGTCAAGGAGCCCGTTGAGAGCCACTGGAGGCCGAAACTCGCCCCAGACCGGCCGCTCCATTTTTGTCGGAGCGTCGGGTCTCCAGGCCAGAGTGCGGGGGCCGAATGCTCATTCGCTGTCCCTGGGCGCGCGGCTGAAGTGGGGTTCCGCGATGCGGATTGTTGTTGCGTTGTTGTTGTCGTCGTTCTCGCCCGCGACCCGCGCGCGACTCTCCCCGCGACTCACCCCGCGACCCACCCGCCAACCACCCGCCAACCACCCACAGAGTGTTGACGAAAATTCGGCGCCTGCGGCGGGCTTCTTCAGAGCCTCGCAGACTGCCGACGACCCCGCCACCCCCCGACTCTTATCTGCAACTGCGGGGCCTCCTGCTGGCGGTCTCGGGGCGGAGGGCTCGAAACCTTCATTCGAGCTCCCCTCCTGGACCCCTCTGGAGGCCCTTCGGGGGCCCTCTTGGACAGTCCTGGGCGCTTCTTAGGCCGTCTTGGGGGGGGCTACGGCACCAGCTTCCGACGACCGAGGAGTACGCTTAGGTCGGGCATGTCCCCTTACAGGCCATAACAAAAATCAAACAATGCTCAAAGATAGCCATAAAAAGTAAAACAATCGTTTCCAGACTATTTTTGGACTGTGTTTGAATATTCCTCCTGTAGAGGGACGCACCCGACTTAAGAGTACGCGAGGGGGGTGGTCCAAGGAGGGAGGGCCGCCGCTGTCTCGGCCGGCCCTCTCCTCCGTCTGCGCGCCCGCCGAAGAACCAGCCCTGAGCACTCCCGGAGCCTCTGAAAAAGTTTGTTTTGCATTATTAGTTTGACTATCTTGGGGCATCTGTCGAGGATTTTGAATTTTTCGTCCGAAATCCGCCCCTTCCCCTCCTCCAAACGACCCTTTATGTTGCAAGGGGCCTCGTCTGTTCCATCGTGCCGGCCATCCGTGTCGCAGCCGTGTCGAAGCAATGTCGCACGCGCCGAATCCGCGCCGAATCCGTGCCGAGTCTGTGTCGGACCCGCGTTCAGTCCGCACCGAGCCCGCCATGGACACAGGAAGATACACCAATTTTGGGGGACAGACGAGGCCTCTCGAAGACGTGACGTAACGACCCCTAAACGTCCAAACACCTTCTCGAGCCTCGACCCCAGAGCCTCTCGCGCCGTGAATAAATCGCGACGGAAGGTTTCTTGCTATTCTGTTAGGCGTTGCAGCGAGGGGGGCGATCAACGGGGGGGGGGGGGAAGCGTGCCTCGTTCGTGCCATTTCTGGGCCCCCAGGGGACACATGTAGGGCGCAAAGGGTGCACCTCTCTTCGCCCCCACCCCCCGCCCCCATGCATCGGCCCCCATTTCGGCTCCACGCACGAGTGACCCTAGGCTTAGGTCGGGCCTGTCCCCCTACAGAGGGATTTTGGATGAAACATAAACAATATCTTTAAAATATTCAAAAATGCCCCAAAATAGTAAAACAAGATCGTCCCCTGATTACTTTTTTACTATTTTTGAATATTCCCTCTGTAGAGGGACAAGCCCGACTTAACTCCACGCAAGAGTGACCCTAGGCAAGAATGACCTTTGGTGAGCGGACGAAGGGGGTGCCAGGTGGCCAAATCCAAGCGCGCAGGCAGCCGCGAAAGCATCGCGCTCAGCAATCAGGGCGACCCCGATGAACCCGGACAAAAGTCACTCCGTCGAAGGGTCACTCTTACGCGTAGTCGGCCATTGCGCAACGCCCGATGTTCGGCCTTTGGGACCCTCGCCGGGCCCTGGGACAACGGACAATAACAAAAAAAGACTCAGGATAGAAAGCCAGTCCCGAGAGTCTATAGACGAGCGCGTTCTACTACTCGCAAAGTGACTACGCGCAAGTGGCCTCTATCATCCGCCGCAGGTGATTCACGGTCGATTTCATATAGAAAGACGTTTTTTTTATGTTTGTGTCCCCGGAGGTTTGCGAGCAGGCCCTTTGCAAGTAGTGGGACGCGCTCGATGAGTCCAGACGCCCAGGGTTCCGAGTCGTGGAGGCACCACGGCATACTGGGGGCCTGGGATCCTGGAGCCTCGACCCTGAGGAGAAGCCGGTGGCCCCCCAGTGGTGGCCCCCCAGTGGTGGCCCCCCTCGAGATTGTGAGGAGGAGGATGAGGAGGGTGATGAGGAGGAGGAGGATGAGGAGGAGGAGGAGGACCCTCCCCCCCATCCCCCCGGGAACGTCCGCCACGGGGGGAAGGACCTGCGAGCGCCACAGCATGCCTGTGAGAGCACCAAAGCATGCCGGTCAGCACTGCAGCATGCCTGTGAGCACCGCCGCATGCCTGTGGGGGAACCGCCCCCCCCCGCGTGCGCTCGCTACCGCTGCGGGGAGAGGGGCCCCTGAGACTCGACGTTGCGAAGAAATTGAGGCACCGTCAGACGTCACGACCGGATTCCCAGAGGCAATCCTGCCGTCGCATTGTTCGAGCCGGGTCGATCTGTGCTGGTCCGGGGGAGTCCCAGGGCCCGACGCCGAGCGAAAACACCCGCTGTCAACGAGAGTGCGACGCCCAAGTCTCTGGGAGGGGAGGGGGGGCGACCCCACGAGCTCCCAAAATGAAAAGCAATGTCTAGTTGTGACCCCCTTTCGCACTGCCCGATGAGGACCACCACCGCCGCGGCCGCCGCTGCCGCCGCCGCCGCCGCCGCCGCCGTCGTCGCCGTCGTCGTCGTCGTCGTCGTCGTCGTCGTCGTCGTCGTCGTCGTCGTCGTCGTCGTCGTCGTCGTCGTCGTCGTCGTCGTCGTCGTCGTCGTCGTCGTCGTCGTCGTCGTCGTCGTCGTCGTCGTCGTCGTCGTCGTCGTCGTCGTCGTCGTCGTCGTCGTCCTTCTGTCGTCGTCGTCCTCCTCCTCCTCCTCCTTCAGGGTTGGCGGCACTGGCCAGAAGGCCTTCGCAAAAAGAACAAAATGCCTAACGGTGATAGAAGGCGGCTGGGGGGTCTGAGCTGGTTGGGCAACGAGAAAATCAATCAAGAAGAAGAAGAAGATGAATGCAAATCCGCCCAAGATCTGCCTCAGGACCCCTCCCAAGGTCCATCTGGTGCAATTTGTCACCCCGGATCCGCTCTCGACGGTCCTGGAGCCCGAAAGTGGAGCCCAGAGGCAGAACAAAAACAGAAAACCTTCTCGAACCCAGCGCCTTGACCGCCCTTCCTGCTCGCCTGAACCAGTGCTGGGCCACCTCAGCCCCCCAGCCGGCCCCAAAACGGTGCCCCCCCGTGTTTGAGCAAAGACCGACCGACACGGCAATCCTGTAGGCCTACCGCGAAATGTTCGAAACACAAAACAATGTCCTTAGAACAAAGAGCCGATGTACTAAAGCAACACGCTCTCAGCCGGAAATGTTATAAGGACATGTCGTGCAATCCACAAACAAGGTTCTTAGAACATTGCTTGGTGGGTCTGCAGGCAAGCCAAGACGCTTCGCCACTGCTTTCGGGGGCTCACTGGCCCGGGTCAATGCGAGCCCGGGTCCGTCAGGCTTTGCATGGTCCTGACAGATTCTGCAAGATCCGGCAGCATCCTGCACCCGAGCCCGGGCTAATGCGACCCTGGCCCTGCAGGATCCTGCAAGATCCGCTGCAAGATCCGGCGCTCTGCCTGGGCCCCGTTTGTTATGAGGAAGGTCCTGGAGGCCTCGCGCGGCAACTTGAGACCATATTGACGTCGGATCCACGTCGGATTTACGTCGGGTTCAAGTCGGAATATGTCGAAATTACATCGGTTTACGTCGGACTGACGACGGAGCATCGCCGCGCGAGCGTCGACCCATAGCTTACGGAGCTGACGTGTGAACTAGATAATACAACAATTACGCGCCGCGCGATGCCTTCAGGATTTTTCCCTCATAACGTACGTTTGCATTGACACCCATCCCCAGACCCCCGACGTCATAACTTTTCATAACGTTGACCCTCAGAGGTCTGGACCCCTTCCCCAGGACCGGCCCCTCATCACGAGTCGTTTTTTGACGGCCCCGCGGCCCGGCGAGGACCTCCCGAGGCCGAAAGCTGGCCAAAAGCCTCCCAGCGTGAGGTTGTTTCACGGCGCGAGGAGGTCTGGGCGCTTGACTGGCAGCACTAGAGGCCTCCTAGATGGTGTCCGATTCGATGGTGTCGGAGGATCGCGCCGCATCGCCAAAGCATCACCCATGCATCGGCGATGCATCGGTGACGTCGGCGTGGGGAAACTCGGGCTCCACATCGAGCCGCATCGTCGATTCATCGGCGATGCAGAGCGATCCTCCGACTCCATCTACTCGGGGATGGACAGAAACCCCTTCAGTAAAACGTGGTTTAATGAAGACGACCTCGGACCCAAACCTGGCGGACGCAAGCCTGGAAAATGACGGCCGCGGCGACCCCTGGAGGACTGAAAACGGACAATTCACTCATCGACGTGTCAGGGTGTCCACCCCCATCTAGGAGGCCTAGCAGCACGGCCCCGGTGAGGACCGCGGCCGCCGCCCGCAGGGATCCGGGCACGGTGGGCAGGCCGCCCGGCTGGCGCGGGGCCTGCCGGCGGCCGGGGCACGCCGCGGGCAGCCCCACGCTCGGGGGGAGGGGGAACGTCGACCTCCTCCACCTCCTCCTCCTCCTCCTCCTCCTCCTCCTCCTCCTCCTAGCTTCCTTCTTCTCCTCCTCCTCCTCTTCCTTCTCCTGCTCCTCGCCCCTCCTCCTTCTCCTCCTCCTCCTCCTCCTCCTCCTCCTCCTCCACCACCTCCTCCTCCTCCTCCTTCTCCTCCTCCTCCCAGCTTCCTTCTCCTCCTCCTCCCAGCTTCCTTCT